ATACTGTGTTAATATGTTTTCACTTGCCACAGAGCAGTGATTAATGACCTACAGCCTTGCATTTTTTTACTTCCTTCCTGTCCATGCGTGCCACATACATCATCAGGCCTTACCACAAGTGACGCTGGCAGGCAGCTACAGCTCCTGCTTGGCCTTGTAGCTGCAAACAAACCCTAACATCCCTGCATAGTGATTCAGGCATGCACTTACACTTGGAGCTGTACACGGAAACCTCATATGCTTTGTCTGGCTCTGGTCTAAAGCTTATGATACAGTTTACTATTATTATTACAATTACTGGTTTCCTACATTGAAACTTATTTATTTTTCAACATCTCTAGTATCTGATTTCCTTTGACTGTTAAAGCTGCCTCTAATGTGACAATCATATATTTGTCTATAATTGGATCTGTCTTTAGAGATAAATCTTGAGGGGTTTTGTTTGACTCTTGAACCTCCTAATTCTATATTTGTCTTTTTTTAGATAGCCTTTGACAGTTCAATATGCCCCAACAAAACAAACAAACCTATTTCTATCCTATTCAAACTTATAAAACACAGTTTCAATGCAAATGTTCCTATTCTCCAGTTTGACCGACATTAGTTACCAGAGATCTTTCCTTGAGACCTTATTTCCACTAGAGCCATGTCCAAAACTGACTGATTGTTGTACTCAAGATGCAGATTCCATAATGATTTACTTGGCGAGGACCGAAAAAAATAATACTTTAGAAATAGCAGCACTACTTCATCATATTTTTCCTTGGGTAAGAGCAAAAGCGTTTTTTGGTAAGAATTATTCGCAAATACAAAGTGACTTGTCACATCTGGTTTACTACTTAAAATTCTAAATAAGACAGACCAAAATGTAAAGTAACCTGCAAATTCTAGTATTTTATAGACTGTGATAAAATAATGAAAAGAATAATGTAACTGATAATGATTGATAACAAATCCAAGGCAGATTAAACACTTTTCCTAATCAATTTTCTTTTTATCATAAAATGTAAAAGTCCAATACTGACAGTATTTTAGTAGGCTATGTTGTTTTATGTGTAAGTTACCTTGAATGACAACATTCATTCCTTTAACTTGACCTCCAAATGTTTTGGCAGGTTTACCAGATGTAACCTAACTTCTGCACAAAAACAGAAAACTCAATTTTGCATAAACATTAACTATTTGTATTTGTCTGGAGCACTTTGGTTTAAAAACAAGCTTGTTTGTCATTTAGTGAAGTTACTCACAGTGAACAAAGTAGCCAAACATTTGACCCAAGTAAGCATAGCAACAGTTTATAGAGACCATACTTAAGTAAAAGTAAAGAGTATGGCGTGAAAAAATACTTCTAAATAGTGTTCTTTTCAAAAAGTTTCTCGTGTAAATGTGACTAGTCCTTATGCATCTCTGTAACTGGTCAAGTCCAAAAAAACTTAAGATATTTATCATCATTTTACACCCATGTATCATTCCTTCAACTCTTACAAAGTCTACTGTCCCTGCTGAAAGAATGCACCACACAGTATGATCATATCATAAATAATAGCTTAAGCAGCCAGAGAATCAGACCTGCTACACCGTTAAATATAGTACCTGGATTTTGTATTAGACTTATTATATAATGAACATTTTAATCAATACTTCTTGGGGATGTAGATGAGAAATAGATGGGGAAAACATTGTGGAAAAAATATTCAGGTCTGGCAATCACATCACATCCATCAAAAAATGACTGATCTGTCCAAGCTCTTTTGTCTGGTTCACCTATACCTAGCATTACAAATTTGGTCCACAAAAAAAAATGCAAGCACATGTGTTCTCTGTCATCTGCTGACTTTGCTGTGTGTTGTAGCTTTGTGTGATAGAGACATATTAAACTAGAGCAGAGAGAGAGAGAGAAGGGGAAGCAAAGGGGAGAAAAGAATGAGCTGTGGAAAAACAGAGAGCAAAGTAAAAGAAATAGGAACAACAAAGAGACAGAACACGAGCTAGTCCTGCATGTGTGCTGGTTCCCAGCCCTGTCTGGGCCCTGTCAGCCAGTGATTTATGGCACCGAGACTGGGAGCAGTCTTTGCTGCCAGCTCGGTATTGTTACAACTGACAGCTAATGAGGCTGGACGGGCTTTCAAGCACGGCACTTAACAGAGGCCTCCAACTTCACGAGTCACAAGCTTTCCTCCTCCTTTTCTCACTCCGCTTTCTCCCTCACATTCATTTCTTCTTCCAGGGTGGCTGCAGCAGCGTGGCAAGCCAGCACAAAATCTCTGGGCTTGCAGGGAGAGAATAAGGCAGGCGACAGAGATGTATGAGCAGCGCCCTGAAACTGCTGCACTTTTACTCTCCTCTTCCTGCACACTATTAAACCAGAAGCATGGGGGAGATTGGCTGGAGGATGGGAGTGGACACAGAGAGAGATTCAGCTTCTGCACTTCTTTTTCTCCATCTGAGGCCAGAATACTTCATGCCCTCAGCAATTACTCTGTCATGTTTTCAGAGGCTGGAGTCACATGTCTCTCCACGGTCTACCTATGATTATGTGAGGCTGATCTGTGAGAGGTTAGCTCAACATTGCAGTCTTGGCAGCAATGTTTTCTACCTTCTACACTCTGGGCCTGAGCAGCTCAGACCACCTTCTATAATCACAACCAGAGTCTCTGGCAGAGCTGCCTTCCCCTCCTTCCACCACCTCCCTCGTCCCCTGGTTTCATGTCAGTCGTGATTAATGGCACTAGGGCCCCGGCGCAGCTTACTCTGCCAGTTCCAGAAATGTTCCCCTGATACTTAATGAACTCTGACAAACTTCTTTTCCCTTGCTCTGTTGTTCCCTTAACAATCACACCCCCCTCCAGCCACGTTTAAAATGCATGACACAGAGCTGCTACAGCAGCACCTTGGGCTTAGCTCTGGTCGCTTGTAAATTTCTCAAGAGGCCGATGCCTAAAAATAAAGTGGGGCACCCGTTTAAGAGTCGAGGATCTCGGTTGTTAGCCTGGCATTGCCACACAAATGAGCAAGCTCAGCTTCTGCAAGGGCAAATGAAACATGACTGCTCTGATTCCTGTGGCCCCCAGAAAACTTTGATTTGTACCACTTCAAATGGTTTGTCAACAGCTGCAGATTATATGTTTGTTTTCTTCCCTGTTTAGAAATTGTTGAAGGAATGCAGAAGGATATGTTTTTTTAGTCTTTGACTGAAACCAGGCATATGGCAATAAATGTTAAATATGATTTAAGACAGTAGAATAAACATGAAATGTTACACTTTGTCATGGGGGGATGAGCTTTGATACCATAGACCTAGGATGGTTACATTGCAGCATGGTCTCTGTCTCCCCCTGCTGTTCACATTAGGAAATACAGTGATTATGATTTACATGATCTTAACAAGTATTTGTGGGTTAACCAGAGGTGGATAATTCAGGTCCAGGGAGTAAAAAAGCATGTAGAGAGATCAGTTCCAGTCATTTACATTTTCAGCACAACAAAGACTAATCACCTGAGGAGCTAATCACCTGGCTAAGTGAACACAATCAAAAAGGCTGGGCTTTTACCTTCTGGACCTAGATTATCCACCTCTAAGTTTGACTAAACGTTTTTTATTTATATCTTATAATCGATGAATCTTACAATACGTTTTTGGATTAATCGATTAATAATTGGATAGCCAAAGCTTCTTTAAAGAAGACTTTTTACAACATTAAAACTGAAATTCAACCTTCTCTACTTGTGGAGTTCTGGATAAAGCATTTTTCTTATACTATGCAAAATAAATTTACATTTTTTACAATCTTGGTATAGTTGCTGCTCTAAGTGGGTCACTCTGTCAAGTAAAGGCATGTTTTAGAGTCTCTATACTTCAGTTAATGATTATTTGATCACTAAATTTGTTTACAATTATTTCAATAACCCATTAATTACGAATAGTCTAAATAATTGTTTCAGCAGTAGTCCCAGTGCAAATTTCCAATACAATACTGATTTTACAGCTTTTAGTGTTGACCAATACCTCACATGTGAATTTACTACTAATTTTGTAGTGTGCGGTGTTAGAAAAGGAAGGTGATATCAAACATTGAACAATAGTCAACAACAGTATTTATGGTAGATGGCCTGTATTTTTATAGCGCTTTGCCTAAATCAAATTAAGACTACATTCAGTCATTCACCCATTCACACACACTGACAGTGGTAAGCTACCTTATAGCCACAGCTGCCCGTGGTTTACTGACAGAAGCGAGGCTGTCATACACAGGTGCTCCCTCTGACCACCATTTGTAGACAATATCCATGAAGTGTCTTGCCCAAGGACACAACGACCAAAGCTCAGGTTTGATCTGATAACCCTTTGCTGGCTGAACCACATATAAATGTGAACAACTGACCCATTTATTACCGGTAATAAACCACGGGTTACATTAACTTTAAACAAGGCAGATCTTTACTAGAAACCTAAACAATTAAATAAATTTTTCCCATAAAGCAATTCACTCCAATTAATATTAATAATTAAGCAATATCATAACATGAAACATTTTTAGCTGTTAATATTTTTCTATTGGCATGTTAATATAGAAGAGTTTAAATGCAGGCCGATATAATCAAATATTTTTTGGCAGATATTGGACCGATATCTGGTATCAATATTTAATCAGGATAATTTCTTCCCCAAACACTTTAAACTTATTTTGGCTCAGATCAAGATGGCAAACAATACAATTCTGTTATAGTGCTGATTTTTCACTTTGTTGAAACTTCTTTGAACTTTATTCTCTATGTTGGGAATCTTGTGAGTCAAGTGTATGTGAGAAGGTTCTTAACAAAAGGCCAAGACAGAATCTATTCAGGAACATTTCACTAAATCACCAAATCAGTGGTTTTAGCAGCCTTTTTTTTTTTTTTTTTTGTACCACATTTTCAAATTCTTACCCAACTTTTTAGGGCTTCCTGAACATAGCGGTCATACAGCTCGATAGGGGGCGCTCTGTTCATAGGGAGCTACAGGAAATTTGTGTAGAGCAACCAATCATTGATTAACAAAGGAGAACCTGGCGCAGAGCTTTCGGTAGATTCAAGCTAATTGCGTTCTGTTCTTACTTTATTTAATACTGCTGTGCAGTTCCTGTTCATAGGAAAGGCTCTTTTAATTAGTTTGAAGAATGGGTAGGAGCAGGAGCCGAACTCCGCCGAGACGAGGTGAGATAGTATAAGGCTGCTACTGCCAGGTAGCTAACTTAGCGCTAGCTTATGTTATCACACATTTTTTGCTGTTTTATTCCTAAACATATCTATTCTTTCTTCAATATTTGATTGCTATATTGGTTACATATCACCGTCCAAGATGTTTATATCAAAAGAATATAGTTCAACGTTCAGAGTAAACTGTTTTAGTCCTCCGTGGTCATAGAAGGTTCTAGATGTAGGGAATGCAGAAGCTAAGACTCCTCTTAATAAGATGAAAATAAGAAGTTTTAACTATTGTTTGTGCAGATTTAACGAAAGCTCTTCTTTTTCAGTAGCAAATGGTGATATAGTTTCTATGATTGCTCGACGGTAAATTATATAGCACTTGTAAAGATGGATGAACTGAGGACTTTTTCTTGTACATTTGTTAAATGAGGCGCCGTTTAGTTACAGTTATCAGAGGGTTTGTTTCTGTTCAATTAATAAATACTGGAGTTTATGATGGAATCAAGTCCTTCATTTACTTCTTACATTTTAAAAAAAGTAAAACCTAAACCGGTAGAGCTATAGAGTGCAGGTACAGCAGCTCTCAAAAGTGTGAAACCAAGGAATTGTAAAAATGTGACCATTTGCTGAAAGAATAATCCACCAACACCTGTATAGAACCCAAAACTGGGAAAATAATATAAACAGTTTACTTTTTTTTTTTTTTATCTCAAACCAATCACATTTGCTATTAATTTTATTGCAAAAGTAACAATGAAAATAAATTGTATTTAAAATAATAAATAAAAAAATGCTTATTTTTGTGTGGGTTTGTGTAAGTAGTTGTTTATGTTACCTATTTAGGACTGTATTTGGTTTATTTACTAACCTTCTGAAGACCAACAGGCCTCAGAAGATTAGTACCCAAAACTGGGTAAATAATATAAACAGTTTACATTCAAAAAATCTCCAACTAAACACATTAGCTTTCCTAATAATAATTTAATTGTGACACAATGCAAACCATGTTTGTTACTCATTGTTACAATACATTGTAAAACAACCTACCTTCGTAATGGTATTGTTTCATCTTATTTTGATTAGATGAATGCATCAAAACATAAAGCTAACATCAGTCCTGTGACTTTTGGATCTTCGATGTAGACAATGACCTGATTAACCAGCTCATTGTGTAAATGTAATTATTCTATAACAGCTTTTTATAGACTTAGTTCTTAGACTTAAACAACTTTTTATTGAAATGTCGTTTTGTGCAGCTTTCATGACATTTCCATTTCTTAAAGTGCAGCATTGATCGAATGTAAACGGTGTGGGAGAAAAAAAATATGATGCAAAAACTGCATGGAATTTGAAGGAAGAATTTGAAGTTTTTTCTAGGATGTTTAACGACGTTGATTAACTTACACTTTAAATTCAGGTACAATGTATGTTTAAAAAAAAGTGTTTAAAAGCTGGTCATTTGCATTTTGTTTTCTTTAAACATAGGGAGAATTCATTCTATCAGACTGGCCTCTCGGCAGCACTGATAATCTACAAATGCAGATCTGTCTAATATAACAACTAAAATATTAAGCTGCATATTTTTTATGAAGGAATATTTGTAACAATCTTCCCTTTAGTTATTTAAATTGAACATCATATTAAGTTTTTGTTTTAATAAGTTACAGCAGTAACTGCTTCTTATTTGATTTAATATGTCTATTTAAAACGTAAATATGCTGTTATATATTTTTTTTTTAACTTGCAGTATTAGGTGGTGATCAATTGACAATAAAGAAATTCTGTAAAACTAGCTAAAGTCCCATACTGATAATGGGAAGATTCAGAACATATTATTGGTAGCGGGTGGTGTCACGCTGGCCTGCTTTTATAAGTGCATTTCAATAAAGCTGGATAAAATTTACTTTAGCTTAATTGTTGTTCAGAAATGCAGAACAGTCTGTTGTAGATGGTTAATAAACCATTGCAGATATTTGGAAATAACTAGAATGCATCGTTACCAGTTGCCAAAAAAATGTAGTTATTGATGTGATGTGTGTTTTCCTGTTAGAGAGAAGACGGTCCCGCTCTACGTCACGGGAACACGAGCGCAGGCGAAGAGACAGGGAGCGCTCTCGCTCTAGGGACAGGGACAGAGACCGCCGCAGATCTCGTTCACGCTCACCACACCGAAGGCGCTCCAGGTGAGGCAATTTGTTTACTTTAGATGGTTCTTTATTTCCCCGCATGGGTAACATCTTCCAAAACTGGCTTTCCTTTAATACTATAATATAGTTACAGTAAAAGTTGCCAATTTGCTGTGAAGGGTAAAGAATTAACATATATAAGCCCCTTCTAATTTATACATTTTAATCTAGAAAGAATATTTAAGAGTATTTTATTTTGGTAATATAATAATAGGTGTTTGGCCCTTGAAGTTTGAAGCAGATTAGGGAAGTAAAGTAAATAGTTATAAAGCTTTAATGTCGTTTAATCTGCACATACTGGAGTTTATGATGGAATCAAGTCTTTCATTTACTTCTGTAATAAAAAATAGTAAAACCTAGGGTTGGGCGATATAGAAAAAAAGCTTATCGATAAAAAAAAATGCATATTGATCGATATCGATAATTATTGAAAAGATTTGAAACCATATTTTATGTGCAGCTCTGCCTGGACTTTTTATAAATGATTTAATTTTAATAAAAAACACAAACACAGACTTCGAATTA